GCTTTTATTGACGAGCCTCAGTGATTGCTTGATTTATGTCATATGATGGAATCAACTGATGGAGTCATCATGAAATCAAAATTCACTTTCTTAATACATTGGGCATCCAAAGTCCACATTGAAAAATATTGGATTCAAAGTTAAATTTAAACCTGAAAACAAATCATGCTGTGTAACATTATAATATGCATATGAATGAACATGATATGAAATTTAAATTTTTTTCCCCCTTTTTTTTAATTAATTTTTTTTTTTTTTTTTGTAAAATTGAGATTCAAACTCAAAACTTTTTTTAAAGAAAATCACAAATTGTTTCTTCCACATGTTAATATTAACAGTAAACCTCTGATGTGCATCACCTTGTTTGCTCAAAATTGAGGAATGTTTCATTTTAAGTTTCAATACATTGATCATGTTCATTTCATTACCCCTGTTTTTTGATAATACATTTGTATTAAATCATAAATCCAAAACAATTAAAACACACAACACAGAATTTCTGTAAAAATTACATTTTACATACAACCCTATTATTGCAAAAATGTTGTAAAAATAAATTATCAAATTGATAAAGATCAATTGATTAGATTAGATTTTTGATTATTAATATTTAATTAAACAATTTAAACGGAATCCAGAAAAATTTAAATGGGGGAAAAAAAAAAAGGAATCTTGGAAAAAATAAAACTGGTTCCATAGAGCCCTAAAATGTCATTTTTGTTAAACTTTTAATAAATGGTTGTTAAACTGTGCGAGTTTTATCATTTTAATTAATTAGACATGCTTTTTACAAAAAATTACTCAAATTTAATGTAATCTTTATTATGTAATCTAGAAAAAGAAAAAAAAACTAAGTTTTACTTTCTAGGAGAAAAGCAAATTTTTCATGATCCAAACTATTCATGAAAATGATGGGTAATGTGTCATTGAATTTCTTATTTCACTCAGAAATATGTCAAATATCAGAAGTAAAATGATTGCAAATATGTTTCATGTTGACTTTAATCATCATGACAAGCATCTTCTCTGCCTTCTGTCTGTCACAGCAGAGTTTCTCTCCATATGTTGTCTCTGTGTTTGGACAGTCAGTCCTGCAGTCCCTAATGTCCAAACAGCAGTCTGTCATCATTTCCCTTGTCTGTTTTCTGTCTGTTTCTCTCTTTCTCCTCCCCTAGCGGTCACGGCAGGCTGGTCCGGGACACTTCACTGCCCTGAGTGACAGCGTGTGGGTGCAGGAACGCACAGCACCCATCACTTTCACTCTATATATGTGTGTGTGTTCCTCCTCTTCGCACACTCACAATCTCACACAAAGTCTAATTTTTCATGCAAAGGAGATTTTGACTTGCATGAGGGTCTGTGTGTGGCAGGGGGTTGGGAATGTAAAGCCAGCTCATGCTAATACAGGCCGTCCCAGGATTAGACTGAACGAGAAGCTCTCTGTATGGGCCAGCAAATTTAGGAAGGGGAGGTTTGCACTGGATGCAGAGATGCAGTCAACCCGAGGGAGTTAAAGGAGTGAGCCGCGTCTCCTCTGTACGTCTATGCATTCGTCCATCCGCCGTCCCGTTCCGGCCCAATGGCTGCCACCCGACCAGCGTTTGTGAGTGTGATTGTTTTCTACCTCTCAGCCATTTGGACGCATGACGGCATTGTTTTTTTAATACAGTCGTGTACATGTGCGTGGGACACAGATTCTCAACGGTGCATGTCTTGGGAGGATCCAAGAATATATTTGGCTGTGTAAAGATGGATGTATTTTGTAAGAACACTTAGGAAGACATGCTGAATGATGCCATTGTCTTTCAGCAGTTGTTTTGGTCCATTTGTTTTTACTGGGAGAGTTTACTCTAAAGTTAATGCTCATTTTAAATCCTCCAAAAATCTCGTCAGTTTTTTTTTTGTGATTTTTTTTTTTTCTTTTTTTTTAATTTAAACTGTTTGTTGTTTCAAAACACTTTTTTGTCACTGTTCGCAATGATTTAGATTTTCCCTCAATTTTAACACCAATTTCACGTTTTTTTTTTTTCTTTCTGACAAAACAGTGTTTGGTAATTTGATTTAATTACGTAAACATTTTACAGACTATAAGACCATATTTAAACATGATTACCAAACAAATTTTTTTTTTTTACATTAACCGTTTTTGTCTGTTTACTGTGATAATATAAATCCCTAAACTTTAAAAAAAAAACTGATAAACCAATATGACTTCAACAATGAGTATAAAAATAGATTTGCATAAATTGGATTTTATGTTTGTTGTCCCAAACTTTTTTCTCCAATGTTTGCTATGATTTTGATTTTCTTAAAGTTTCTAAAACTTGAGAAAAATATCACCATATTTTGATGATTAGCATGCAAAAATAGCCTTGTAAATTAGGATTTCCATTTGTTGTGACAACACTTTTTTTAAACCAGTATTTGATTTGAATTCATTTTCATAATCATGCTACAAATTGTGAGAGCAATTTCACATGCATACAAAATAGATTTGCGCAAGTTAGATTTTCCAATATATTCCATATATATTTCCAAAATATATATATTTTGATATCTTTAAACTTCTGAAACGTATGAGCTGAAAGTCACGTACTTTGAAGATTAGCATGCGAAAATAACTTTCATGAATAAGGGTTTCTCTTCGTTTTGTCAGAACGGTTTTACACTATTGTTTGCTATGATTTGAAGTTCTATTTCTAAACTTGCTACAAACTGTAAAAGTGTACAAACTTGTGTAAACTTCACAATGATTATCATATGAAATAAATATTCTTAAAGGGACAGTTCACCCAAAAATGAAAATTATGTCATTAATTACTCACCCACATGTCGTTCCAAACCCGTAAGACCTTCGTTCATCTTCAGAACACAATTTATGATTTTTTTTAAATGAAATCTGAGAGCTTTGTAACTCTGCATAGACAGCAAGGGAACTGACACATTCAAGGCCCAGAAAGGTAGTAAGGACCGTTAAAATAGTTCAACCGTAATGTTATGAAGCTACAAGAATACTTTTTGTGCCCAAAGAAAACAAAAATCATGACTTTATTCAACCATTTCTCCACTGCAATTCATGAAAGAAAACCTTTTAAGTTGCAAACATTATTTTGTTGAGTTCAGTTGACACAATAATGTTGCATAATAATGTTAAATTATTAAATTAGAATTTTTAACTTGCAACTGTGCATTTATTTTAAGTTGTGGTAACAGGTCCCCTGAAATATTTTTCAGAGTGTATCTGGACCATAGACTGTATAAAAACATGGACGTAGTGTCCGTGACGTAACCCGTAGACTTCCGACAAGCGTTTTGAAGCCTAAAGTAGGCGGAGCCAGCTGTCGCCATCTTGGCAGCGCGTCACCGCGCGTCACTCCCGGATAATCGGAAATGGGCAAAAAGGCGGGAGCTGGCTGCTGAAACCACGCCCACCTTGCTCGACGGTGGTGACAGCAGCGGCAATCCACCTGTCACTCAAGTGGCCACGCCCTTAATTATGCAGAACTTTAAGGCTTAATATAATTTAAACGGATGAGTTATAAAAAAAATGCACCCCCCTCACAGTTGTCATGAAGGGCAAAATTTGCTATATAGACCAAAATCATTTTTTGAACCAGGCTGTAAACGTTTTTTTCTGCTGTAAAGTTGGGCATTTTAACATGGGGAGTCTATGGGATTGACTCCCTTTTGCAGCCAGCCTCTAGCGGCCAGTCGATGAATTACAGTTTAAGTCACTTCCTTGTTGGCTTCACAAGAGAGAGCGGGAGGTTGCCGCTCGATCTGGACACTTTTTTATGCTTTCAATATATTTCTCTAAGCTTTTAAAAGCTTCAACAGTTTTGAATATGACTTTAGTAAGATTTACCATTTTTTGTGGCACAACTTGCTCACCGCTTGCTACGCTTTTAATTTCCCTAAACTCACCAATTTGGCATGTATAAGCAATTAGCATACAAAGCAGACTTCCGTAAACAAGATTTCCGCTTTGTTGTGCCAGAACACTTTTTGCCAGTGTTTGTGACGTAACATTGTTTACAGAGAAAGGCTCTTCTGCTCTGAACCGATCTGAATAGCTCTGCTCACTCCGGGTCGACTGGCACCTGTCTTGGCAGCACTGTGGACTTGTTGGAAGAGCTTGGCTCTTTTGTGACTGGTTCTTGCCACTCTGTCTTAGTCCTTTTTTCCCTTTTGTTCGCCCATGCCAGCCTAGCCAGATGCCTGGGCTCTTTGTAGTATGGCTCAGCAGTTATGTATCCTGAAGAGAGTCACAAACACACGGTCCTCCCTGTATGCACCCCACGGCTCAGCTATACTTCAGCTGTCGACCTGTGACTCCACCGCGGCCTTTGACTCCACTGTTGTTTGAGCGCTTTACCATGAAGAGGCCCTTACAATGAATTGCTCTTAGACTCAATAACATTGTTTAGTTGTGAGTGTGTGTTGCGTATGAGTGTGTGTTTTGAGCCCATGGGGATCACAGGCTGGACTCGCAGGTTTGGATTTATCTTCTTTAGTGAGGTGCATTAATGCTGCCTGCTGGTCTGCTGATGGGAATCTGAATTGTGCTTTCAGTATAATTTTCATATTGGTTGAGAGTGGCCCGCTACTCAAGGTTGTGTATGTGTGTGTGTGTGTGTGTTTAAACACTGTCTGCTCAGAGGCTGAGCAAAATCTGCTGTTAGGCCCTTTGGGTTTGCAGTGGGTCATGGGATGGAGTCAGAGTTATTTTATAGGAGAACCGCACAAGCCATATTCTTCATGCATGCCAATGAGTCCAATCTAATGTGTCAGACTGAAGATCAAACAAAGCATTTCATTAATGTTTCATAGACTGCTGAGCGTTTCGCTAAACTAATTCCCCTCAACCAGTGTCTGTCGGCTCTGGTTCTCTGAACGGCGCTGTTGACGACTACAGGCAGCTTAACCCACCAGCTCTCGTTACAGTAAATCGTCACTTTTCTGATATTGAATCCTAATTAGTATTAATATGATACGATTCGTGTGAATCTGCGTTTGTCGCTCGTTTGGGTTCTGTTTCTGTCACAGGCAAAAAAAAAATGTTCATGTACAACAATCAGAAATATAAAAACATATCTGTTTTGTTTACAGAAATAAATCAAATTGCCAAACACTCTCAGAAAGAAACATTGAAAGTTTTTGTATATTAATTACAGAAATGTGCGACAAGTCACAGCTAAAAAAAAAAAAAGTGTTTTGGAACAACAAACTGTTTTCAACTCAATATTTGTCAATGTCAATTTGTCATTAACATGCAATTTAAAAAAAGTGCTCATTGTGCTCAGTAGCTCCTTTCACAATGAAATCTCATTGGTCCAAAATCCTTCTTCACATAACTATATATTAAATCAACAAAACTTTGAAGTCATAGAGATAGAATAGCCTCTCTACGAATGCGCTGGTTGATTATTTCCTCGCTTCTGCTAGAACATAATGTCTACACAAATTGATTTTTAAACACCAGCCACATTTTTCATATATTTTTTTTTTATGTGGTATTATTGTAATTTCAGGGATGAAAAAAATAATACAGACATTATTGAAATGCGGGACCCTGCATTTATTTTGGCCACCCTATTCCTGCCATTACTACAATCCCTATCAATAAATTTTGCAGAAAGGCAAAACATAAAGACTAATAATAATGATATATTGGGTTGAGGTTTGTTGCTGAAATCTGGTTACCAGTCAGAGCTCGAATTTATTTATATTAGTCATGTTGTATTGGTCAATGTGCAGTTTGCAGCTGCATATTCCTGTAGCATTCAAACAGGAATTTAACAAGTTCTACACTTTCCCGCCTGTTATTAGCATGCTTATTTAATATTTGGCCTAATTTGATAGCTTTCTGCTACGAGAAAGGTACTGCTCAGCTTGATTGAGCATGTTTTATCATATTTACATTTTCATATTTATTTCATATTTATCATATTTAAATATCATATTTTATATTTATTGCACATAATTTTGCAGATTTGAACTTTTTCTCACTGTCACTGACCTACAGAAGCGTTCTTTTACAATCAATGCACTTCTGTTGTTATATGCTTTTTAAAGCAGCTATTTAGTTATTTTTAAGTGTGTGTGTGTGTGTGTGTGTGTGTGTGTGAGCTGTTTTGCAAACACGAGCAGTATACTCTATGATGCAAGCTCTCCTGCTGATGCAGAAAACATTTAATTATTTAGCATTTATTCACTCATTTATTTTCTTTGCATGCAATATTTCTCAGTTTGGTTCATTAATTGGGCCACGTGTGATTTTAACACGCTTTGCCTTATTTGCATGCAGCACAGTTAGTCTGGAATAAGTTTAAACCTGTCATCCTCTGGAGATCTCCGGCTCTGTTTAGAGAGTCCGAGATAACGACAGGAAGATATGAGTGAAGAAGCTCAAGTAAGCTCAGGTTTGGTTTAAGAGGGAGATTTTTTTTTCTGAGGCTGCTATATCACACTTGGCCTGGTATTGGTGTTGAATTGCCTCTAGATGGCTCCATGTAATGATAGTAGTTTTCTACTTTTGTTTTCTTAATCGCAGCTTATATTACAGCTTATGTTTGGTGGAACAAAAATGAGACGCTTCATTAACAAATCCATACAGTAAAAACACACAGTGCAAACATCAGATAAGATTGGGTTAAATGTGCTTTATTTTCAATGACATAATGCAAAAACTTAATGGCCCCCCCTAAAAAGGTCTAACTTTCTCTAAGCAAAATTACATTTTTTATTTTCTTTGGATTTTGGGGTGAAATGTGTTCTTGATTCACTCAGTTACATAAGTGTTCATGTAACATTTGCCCTATTATACTTACTGTATGCATGCATTTGTCTGCAGTGAAATATATCACAAGTTGACATAGACATCAGTTCGTTATTCATCTTCATTTCTTTTCCAATTGTGTGATAAGGTCAGCAGACACACTGATTATATTGAAAAATACTGATTTAGATAAATATGAAAGACTTTGCATTTTCAAACAAGAGGCAAAGCATTTGTGGCAAAGAGGAGTTTGGGTTGGGGCTTGCTGCTGAAATCTGGTTAAAAGTCAGAGCTTTATTTATATGTTTATTGTGTCATTGTATAGTTGTATTAGGCAACGAGAATTCACAGGTTCTGCAATTTCCTGTCCATTATGTGCTTGGTTATTTAATATTTTGATGTTTTCTGCTACCAGAAATGTAGCTTGATTGAGCACGCTGTATCATGTTGAAAACCCACTGCACAGACTTTTGCATTATTCAGGACAGAAAATACAAAATAGACAAAAATTAGGTTTGCTTGTGTCAATAAATGACATTTTAAGTCAGTAAATGTTCCTTCATCAATCAGTGTGCAATCAGTATAGACTGATTAATACTGATGTTTTATTTCAGCTGTTTTGCTACGTTTATGCTAGCATTATATTAGCCGTCTTTGACAAACTCATTTCCTTTGATCACTAGCTATAACGGTGTGGAAATTTGTAAAAGACAGGAAGTGAATAGCTGTTCATGTGCTGTGAGCGCTCTGGCAGATGCACAGTATATTGAAAATGAGAAAACTGTGCTGTGGGACAGAGGGATGTCAGACATAACTGATGACTCGTCTGCCTTCTGATGGATTCTGGATGAGACCGGAATATATTTGAATAAACTTTAGATAAAAATAAATACACTTTGTTTATAGACAGGTTTGTTCTTTGTAATAAAAAATATATATAACATGGTGCTGTTTGCTTTGTATTTATTGGTTGCGCCCTCTTCTGGACATTTGAATATAATTGTCAAATATAATTTGAATTTTGGAAATATAAGTTAAAAGAAAAGGGAGATTTTTTTTTTTTTTTTTTTTTTTTTGACAGCCATTCAAGTGTTTGTGTGTCTTCAAAGGGTTTATTCCTGGAAACACGGTCAGTAAGGTGTCAAACCAACCTGGAGGTCAGGTTTAGATTTAGTTCCCATTAACTGTATTAAAGTGTTTCTCAGTTGTGCCATTGTCAAGGGTCAAACTTTGTTCTCCCTTTAAGCAAAAAATAGCCATTGAACAAAAGTTGGTTTTCTCCCTGCAGAGACAGAGGCATTCCCTCTCTTTTCCATGGAGACAGCAGCCGCCTCAAAGAGTAAGACCCTCCACACGACCCTCTGGCTTCCTGTTCCTCTGCTCTGTGCTGCTGCTCGCCGGTTATTACAGATTCTGCAGAACCATCCCTTGACAGATATTACTGATAGCAAAGTTAAATGGAGGTGTTCTAATGATTACGTGTTTTGCAAATTAATAGTTTATATATAAAAAAAAATGCTTCCATTGTTGTTAAAGTGGTAGTTCACCCACAAATAAAAACTCTGTTGTCATTTACTCACTCTCATGTCTTTCCAAACCTGTATGACTTCCTTCTGTGAAACAAAGATGATATTTTGAATAATGCTGATAAACAAACAGTTTTGGTTCCCCTTGACTTCCTTTATATTTTTTGGCCACACAGTTGAAGTCAGTGGAAACCAAAACTGTTTGGTTACCAACATTCTTCAAAATTTTTGGGCGAACTACCACTTAAACTAAGACTATTAAAAATCATTTTTGTTCATTTAAATAATGCTGAAATAAATAAAACATAAAATTAGATGAAAAACATTTAAGTTTCTTCTCATTTATAATAAAGGTTGCTTAAATAAATTAAATAATAATAAATTAAGTAAAATAAATAATAAATTAACTTAAATTAAATAATAAAATAAATAAATAAAGCTATTTTGAAATATAAAATAATAAAATGAAAAAAGCACTTAACAAAAATGACTAATACTTGAAATGAAAATAGAAAATTAAAAGCTAATTCAAAATGTTAATAAATGATTGTGAAGTTCCAAACCAGCATGTCTTTTTCTTCTGTTGTGGGAGACAAAAGGAGATTTTTTTTTTTTTTCAGAATGTTCATGCTGTTCTTTTCCATACAAAAACAAAACAAAAAAAAGTATGTTGCCCATACGGTCTTCTGAGGTCATATAATAGTTTTTGTATGAAAAACAGACCAAAATGAAAGTAATCACTCACTGAACATCTTTACCATCACACGTATGCTTCCATGGTATGAAAGAGTGCAGCATTAACATTCTTCAAAATATCTTCTTTTGTGTTCCACTGAAGAAAGGCAGTCTTACAGGTTTTGGAACAAAAACGAGGATGATGCAGTCATGATAGAACTTAATTTGTGTGATCTATTCAGTTAAATGTTTGACTGTCACTAGAAGTTTGGAAACCTTGTCAGTGTCTTCTCGCAGCTCTCTCTCGGCCAGCTTTTCTTGGCGGTGGTGGCAGAATTCAAGCTATCTCTCCCTTTTTCTGTCTACCGCTGTCTTTTTGACCTCGCTACTTTGGATAAGCTGTTGCTCGGCAGCTTTGCCGTAACTTAAAATTAACCGTTTTCTTTTACTAACTCAGTTCATTACTTTTCGAATTTCTGCCAGAGTTTAATATCAGCCACACAGACACATTAACCCCAATTAAAAGAATTTCTGTGCGTCATTTTTAAATGCCTTGTCACCTCCTCCATTGTCTTCATATTACGTAACTCCACTGTTGTCCTGAAGAATTAGGAGCTGCTTCCACACATCAGTAGATTCATCAACCGCTAAGGACAAAGATCTTAATCTCACGGACTCGGATACAGCCTCTTTTTGAAGTTATTGAATTAGTTTTTCCTGATTGAATTAATGAATTCCCATACTGAAATGGTGAGCCAGACTGTGCTGATGTTACGTAATCAGTGTCCTTTCAGTTTCCGCAGCATTCTGTCAATCACTGAAGGGTGTGGACATCGTGATCAATGAATGCTGACTCCAAGTGAAGAGTTGCTTACATGTCGCGTTTCTAACTTTCAGAAACGTCCTGCCTGACTAAATTGCATTGATATATTCGGATGCAAGGCCAAACTCCTTATGTCTTTTCAGACAGTGCCTTGTAGTCTGACATTTAACTGGTTGGACTAGTGAATGATGATGGTGACTATATGAAATGACATCCTGGACATGCTGTTCTCTTGTTCTCCTGCATGTTTTCGAGTTTACCTGTGTCTCGGGGTTTAATTTCTTGGCTATTTGGAGACTGTCATCCATGGGTAAGCTTGGGTAGGTGACAGACCCACCTATGACTGTATTGGTCAGGGTTGGTGCAACCAAATATTTTGCTCTTATTTGCACCGTGCATGATTCTTATAACCTTGGGATGATAGATGGTGTTTTCTCAGTCGGATTTGTCGCTGCATTACTGCTTCATCTGCTCTGCTGGGAAATCATAAATGCAATGTTTTAACATAAATCGCAGCTGCTTTTTTTCAGATTGCACTGAGGTTAGTGTCTTCATTTGGTTTCATGGTGTTTGTCTTTCGCTTACAGATTGAGAAGATCATGACACTAATTGGTGCTGGCATCGACTTCTCAAAAGACCAGGAGTGCCCTGCCACAGGTTTGTGATACTCTGATACTCTTTCAACTTGTCAACTGTGTCTATACACTGCTTTCCTGTTTAAAAAGTTTAGTTTTTCATTGTACGCTATTATGAAGAGATGCCAAAATTATTATTTATTTATTATTTATTAATTTTTTATTGTTTTTTATATTTAATATCGGCCATCATTTATCGGTTATCGGCAATAACATGAAAATAAGTATCAACTTTTAATTATAGGTATCCACTATAATTTTTATATGTGCATCCCTAATTTCCCCTCTTCTAACAAATAAATTCACACCTCTCTCTGTGTCTAATAAATACCAAAATCCCTCAGATAAAATATGAAAATCCAAGGGATAATGCACATCCAGCCATTGTTATCGCAGAGTAGACCCAAACAGGGTGATCAGGAGCCTTGCATCACCCTGAAGGGGTTTAATCTGGGGTAACAACTGGCTGGATGTGCATTATCCCACTTATTACATGGCTACTTGCCGCATAAGTAAATAATTAGACATAAAATATTGATTTTCATTGAAATATTTTATTAGCTCGTTAAACACAAAGCTTCTGCAATAAAAAAAACAGTTCCTAACCAACCTTAGCGAAGTTCGGACGAGACGAAAAATTAAGGCGTAATGTACAGTCATATCACTAATTACTCAGCTTTTCACCACATAAATAAAGACGAGGGCATAAAATGTTATTTTAAAACAAAGCTTTTTAACAATTTTACTGCATACCTACTATTAATACTCTGGTTTCATTTTACAGTAAATGCAGTCAATAACTGAGACGCAAGATGATAGCAGTTTCATTTGAATGAAAGGAGAGAGAGCACAGTGTAATCATGTAATAAATAAAAGGCATCTATTCGATTAAGTCTAACGTCATTTGCCGTCATTTCCAGGTCCAAACGCTCCTTCAGGTACCAAAAGCAGACAACCAAACAGTACAAGGATGCTCTTATGGTGTGATGTAAATACTTCTGAAAAATCATAATCCTAACCTTTCTCTCCACACTGAAATCTCAGTTGACCAGCCAGTAATATTTTCCGAATCGTTGAAAAAATATTGTCCGGGACACTGTGAGCCCAGAGGCTGTAGTGATGGCTGTTGAGATGGTATTCTTGTTTAAAATGGAGTATAAGCTTGGTCCCGGAAACAGTGTTCAATATGTCACAAACAAGCGGATTGTCTTTCATTGAGAGGAGGGATTTTGTGTTTTTGTTCAGTTACTTCTCATTGTACTCAAAGCTTTGGCCGCCTGATGGCCATCATAGCTGACCATCAAGTGTCTTTCTGGATCGTACGTTTACATGAGGATCTGCCTTCGAAATGAGACCTGACTGAGCAGTCCAGCAATGAAACTCAATAACCTATTGATGGGCAAGAGAAAGACGAAGGTCAAGTCCAGAAGACATTAGTGAACGGAGGATATGGAGTTGGCTGGCCCTTTAAATGGAGAATTAGAAATCCCATTGTGCCGTTGAAGAACCGAGGGGACACTTGAGAGTTAAATCAATGGACGCTGAGACGCTTGACGATTCCACCTTGCTGATGCGTGACCTTGTTCTGTATGGAGGCAGCTTATTGACCTTCCTCTGGAATTAACCAAACTACAGCAATCGAGACCAGAGGGGCCGTCACGCTTGCTGTACCATTTGCTCCTATAAGTGCAGTTTGACAACTTCTGCAAAAACGGACGGGACAGCTGCTGTTCTTAGGTTTAAGCCTTGAATAAAGCACACTTCTCACATCAGTGTATCGTAAAGCCTATAAACACTGTTTCAAGTGGTGTGTCTCTACCAGTGTTGGGCAGTAACGCGTTACTGTAATTTGATAACTTTTTTAGTAACGGAGTAATTTAACGCGTTATAATTTTCAAAATAGTAATTAGAGTATAGTTACAAGCCGAGGTCTCTATACGTTACTGCCGCATTACATTGCTGACAGAATGCAGTGTTTTATAATCTGGAGATTGTAAAAAGGATGTAGCTCACGCACTGTCGAGTCAAGTGCCAGTGGATTAGAGACCTGCTCCCGCGAGACCCGACGCAACAGAGCGCGGCGCTGGACAAGACTTGATAGGCGAGTGCAGAGACTTGTGGAATAGACAGGCAGGGAATAGAGAAAAAAAAAATGTTTCACGGGACTCCCGCAAAATAGTAATATCTAAACATAAAATATCTAAAACAAATAAATTGTTATTCATCTATTGCACAAAAGCTACATGAACTAATATAAAATATAAACGATTAACAGGTGCAAGCGTATGCAGTTAGGCGTGTTTGCAGCGTTGAGCAATGCAGTGTTGAAATTTGCGTGCTCACGAATCCTCTCATTATAACACACGAATTGTAGACATTATGAAAGATTCATTATGCATATATGTATTGTGTTATAACAGAGATTTGTGAGATTGCTATGAACTGAGATGTCTTTTAGAGATTATATATACAGCGCTCTTTGCTGGCATTCTGCCATGCAAAGCCACTTGCTTTAGTTAAAAATAACAGTGTTCTGTGAATGTTGATGCTTTAATAACAAATATTTATCGGGAGTGTGTATGCTGGGATTTCATAAATTTAATGGAGAAAAAAGTAACGTAACTAGTAATGTAACTAATTACTAATTACTTTTGAAATAAAGTAATCAGAACAGTAATGTGATTACTTTTAAAAGGAGTAATCAGTAATCCGTAATTTGATTACATTTTCAGAGTAACTTGCCCAACACTGGTCTCTACAAGGGGCCTTTGTGTTCCAACTGGGTTCATTGGCCCATATAAGTGCAAAGCCTAGCTAGAGGACCAGTCCTTCCTCTGTTCTTTGTCACATGGCACTGCCTCTGACCTCATTTCCTGTTTCCCGCAGGCATCCTACTTGGACATGACTCTTGGTTTTTAGCTTTAGTAGTTGTGTTCGCTAAATCCAGCATTTTTACTTTTGCTTGTACTAAATGGAAAAACCTGTAAACAAAGTATTAGACTGTGAAGGCCCGGCACTGTTTGTGCTTTGGACATAAATGATACCATAAATCATGTGGCTTGTTGAGAAGTTGTGCTTTTATTCTAAGAAATCAGCCTTAAGATTTTTAGATAAGCAATAAAGTGGGAAAATAAATCTAGGGACATTTTGTTCAAAGCCACCACCTAGATACCTCCAAGAACATTTTAGCATGCTAATCTTAGTACACTTGTATCATTTAGCTGGTCATAATGCTTTTTTGAAATCTAAAGTTAACTATTTGTTGAAAATTCATCCTCTTTTGTGGACTACAGAACTTGGCTCGCCTCTTCTAATACCACTGGAATACTCTGTAACTGGTGGTTTTGCAGTTTATTTATAAGGCATTTGTTGCATCAACAGCACAGTATTTAATTAATAAACTCCTGCAACAGGATTGTTGGCAGAGTTTGTCTGTTTGGTTTCTGTCTGTGTGGATAAAGGTGCTAAAATATTAACATGCATGGGGAGTTATAAGAAGAACTGCCCTGCAGCTTGGCAATAAACCCAGAGCTACATCCTCCAGCCTAGAAGCTCTGCATATGCCTCTGTGTTTGTCGTTTGCTTTCTGGGTAAACACTATTTGGCTTTTTCCATTTCTTTGTCTTTTGAATCAATGCCTCTAATATTGTTACCATAGTCAACAATACCCTGACGAAAGAGTAATGGTCCTGGTTGGGTCAATGAACTGGACGAAGGTTTGATGAGTCCTTAGATAATGGACAGCAGGCCCGCATTTTCTTTTAGGGGAAGAGAGAGAGCGAGGCATGGAGGGGAGGAGACAGGGAGAGGGAGGGGAGAGCAGTAGCAAGGGAGAGAAAGGAGGAGACGGAGCAGGAGCGCTGCAGAGCAGAATTGACAGCATCCAGATGAACAAGGAGACCACGCCTTCTGTGCCGAAGGGATTGCTGCTGCGTTTCTTACAACATCCAGACTCATCTGCCCCGCAAGTCTGGAGCAGGGTGTGGGGTCAGCAAACACCCCCACTGACCTTGCATTATTAATTCAACAGCAGCCGCGATGTCTCGACAAACTAGAGGGATATCGAGATGTCTGCAACGTACTGAGGATTGACTGATGTGGGAAGTGCACCCATGTTCTCTGTTTGGACCTCTACAGGACTCTGGGAGACTTTGTTGTGGCGGAAAAGCAAGTCTTGTACTTATGCTGTCTCTGATTAAGTTGAATGTCTCGGTGGATACTAGTTCTCATTGGTTTTTCCATTCGCTTTTGCTTTTAATTTTGCTTCGATTACACCGACTTTAAATCTAGGTTTATTGGTGAGGCTTACATGTGAAATAAAGTTGATATTGAGAGTTTTATTAGAGCAAAGACTTTTTTACTCTTTGCCTAAGTCTCATGTACCTTTGATCCTGAGGATCACAGAGTGACTTTGTGCAGTGCAAGTCATGCAATCCTGCCTGACTTTTAAGTAACGCTATCGTAGAGATTGGATTAGAAGTTAATTTGCATGAGGAGTGCAGAACGCAGTTAAAGACTTTTCAGGCTTAAGGTAGCAATTTTAGTTATAGCCATAGCAATTTTTAGTCACTCTATTGAGATCAGGAGATTTTGAGGGTCACTCGGCATCAGTTCAGGGGATCGGTAGACATTGCTTGGGAGTAATGAGTGTTTGTGGTAGTTATAGGTGAAACGTTTATTTGTGCACCCCATCTCCACATGGACACCCGTGAGGGAAATACCAACGTTCAATCGTGAGATGTTTTTCCTGTGCTCCTCCTCATTAAAAGGTGCAAAGGTGGATCTGCAAACTCACATTTTCAGGAACTAGATTGTCCAGAATTGCAAGGAAACTGGTTTTATTGCAATGGTGCACATCGTCTTCTGTGACTTTTTGGATTGTGAAATCAAACCTTTGATTCATTGGGTGATTTCTGGGCTCAAATGGAAACTTTGACAATTGCTGGTCTCGGCACCCAGTTGTACTTCATAATAACTTCTAAAACCTCTCCAATGTAAATTAATTCAACAAGGACGTAATGTGGAGTCTATATCAGTGATCAATCCCAGCGTTGGGCCCATCTTCTTGCCAGATTCGGCAACAACAAACTTCATTGTTAGCAAGCGTGGTTTCGCCCCTGCTGTGGGAGCGGCCACACCTCTCGGCCTGGATCCTGTCGCCTTTGCCGTCTTGGTGTTTGTGCTCTCGGCACTGTTGGCCGAGGATGATGTGGCAGTGCCACGTCTCTTCCTCCGATTGCCGATGCTACCGTCTCAGTGGTTTCTCGCTGCTCAAGCGCCTTCCTCTGTCCGCAGGTGGATCCGGGAGGCTGCTTGAACAGCCGGTTGGTGATTGGTTGGAGAATATCGGCCTTCCGCAGTATGAGAGCAAGCTACTGCTCAACGGCTTTGACGACCTGCGGTTCATGGTGAGTAACTCCTATCTAGTTGTCTCCTACAAATAAAAGCATCTCACTTTTATTGCTACTGTACCTGTACTTACTGTATTGTGCTACCTAAAGTCTTTCTATGTCTTATTCTTTTTATCAAATCTGATTGTCATTAAGAAAATGTTCACAAATTACTTGTCATCAGAGAGCTTTTGTTTGTTTTGCATGCCAGTTATGATGTGCTGGTGGTTATGGATCTTGACCAGTAACTCTGATGTTGCAGAGTAATCGCCTTCATGCAAACACTCAGAAAGGGAGCATTTTCTAGTACCCTGAATAAATAAGCATTAAGTGTTTACAAGTATGCTGCCGTTGCAGAGCGAACCTGCAGCCAAGCAAACTTCTGAAACAGCAGCAGAACTGTCAGCATTCTTCTTAAGCTGGGAGGTCAAATGAACAGTGAGTGTTCTTTCGATATAAGCCAAGAGGAGACTGGTTTTTCTTTGCTAAAGTAAGGAAACTTTGCTTCTTTTGATCCTGTTAACAAACGTTGGTTTTCACGAGACTCACCGGCACATGCGCAGTGCTGAACTCATACGTCATTCTCCCGGAACTGCTTCCATGTACAACTGTTGGCGCATGCTACATTAAATATGGATATTTTTCTTACAAAAACGCATCGATTCGCTACAGAAGGCCTTTGTTCATGGATTGGCGCTTTTTATTTAAGTTATTTTGGACTGAAGCAATGCAACACCCGCTGAGTGGCATTAAACAGCTTGAAAGATCAAAGACAATTTTTTATATAACTCCGACTGGATTCGTCTGAAAGAAGAAAGTCATATACACCTAGGATGACTTGAGGGTGAGTAATTTATGGACTAATTTTAATTTTTGGGTGAAATAACATGATTTGCCATAACAAAAATAGGCACTTAATCAAGGCGGATGTCCAGGTCTTTATCCAGGCCCTGAATTATCAATCATTAACAACCTAATTAGGACGTTGTTACGAGATTGGATGCTAAGTGGAAGTTTGATTTAGACAGAGCTCAATCACATTTGATAACTGCAGACTGTAGACAACAGAAGTTTATAAAAACACTAGCCTCTGGAAAATAGGTATTGACAATCCCAATAAAGAATGTGTTTTAGTGGTGTTTGCTAAAACACCAAGTTTCAACACCAAGAATGATACCTCAAATCATGCATTTGTTTAACAGGTGAGCTCTTACTTTTCTAAGCGACAATTTAGAGGAATTTCACCTAGTGGAAGAAAAAACAGGCCAAAAGTTTTCTTTGAAAGGAGACATCTAGTGACTGAAATTTCATAGACCGGCGTTGGGATCTTTTGACTTGGGCATCCAGAACTAGAACACATTTTCTCAAACAGTTTCTTAAAATAGTGTATAAATATAGTTGTGATTGGTTACACTATAGAAACTCTTTTCTTTTTGGCTGTTGATTCATATGTTTTTGAGGATTCATATATAGGGACACGGCCCACAAACAGGTTCTTCACCAGATTGAGAAGCCCATGAGGCTTTATGAAAGAAGCCTGATGCCTTATAAGGGGCTGTGTTGTTTTTACCATGTGAGGTAATGAGAATTGATGGTGATGCGGTTGAAAGCCTCAGCTGGCCGAGGGAGGCGATGTGTGTGTTGTAAATCAGAGATACAGACCCTCTGTTTCACGCCGAGCGCCACCTCATTGCAGGAGTAATGAAGGTTTTATAGCCTAGTTGGTCAGCAGTAGGTGTGTGTGTGTGTGTGTGTGAGAGAGAGAGTGCGTGCGTGCGTGCGTGCGTGCATGCACAGACCCCATCCTGATGCATCGTCCATGTCTGCAGCTCCTTCACAACATCATTCTAGATTCTTACGTAGATAGAAAAATTCAATATGAGGCTACAATCCATCAATGCTCTTGAAGTCCAATTTAGCACTGTAGTTGATAGTGATATTAATATAATTATACAATTTTGATAGCAGTTTTGATACCTAAAAAAAAAAAAAACACACTTTATACTAAGTGTATTATACTTATACTATACTACTACTTATACTATAACAAGTTATACTTAGTTTATTTATGTATTTATTTATTTTGCTTTTATTCAGCAGCGACTTATTAAATTCAAAGCTGACATTTCAAATTTTTTTTTTTTTTTTTTCAAAAGTCAAATACACGCTGTTCTTTTGGGTTTTCTAGTAATCAAAGAATCCTGAAAAAAAAAAAAAGATCACGTTTCCTCAAAAATATTAATCGGCACAACTGTTTTCAACATTGTTTATAATCAGAAATGTTTTTTTGAGCAGCAAATCAGCATATTAGAATGATTTCTGAAGGATCGTGTGACACTGAAGACTGGAGTAATGATGCTGAAAATTCAGTTTTACATCACAGAAATAAATTACATTTTAAAATATATTTAAGTAGAAAACAGTTATTTTAAGTTGTAAATTTAAATTGTAAAAAAAAAAAAAAAAAATGGTAAAAAAATCTATATATTGCTGTTTTTATTTATTTATTTATTTTGATGAAATAAATGCAGCCTTGGTGAGCAGAAAAGACTTCTTTCAAAAATATAAAAAATCTTACCAACCCCAAACCTTTGAACAGTGGTGTACTGTATATATGCAGTTTCAGTTTGTTTGATTCAGTTAGTGAGCTCATGATCTGATGCTGTACTCAAAATCAGTGGCGTGGCATGATGATGCGGTCACATAATCACATAATACGTCCTTTGGATTTAAATGTACAGCACAACTGAACTCCACAACAACACTCGTACTGATACAGGAGGCCAGTCTCTCTGCTGCGTTCAAATTGCCTTGCCTGAATGCATTTGTGTACTTGTTCTGATTTATACATGCAGGATTAATCAATCTTGGCTAGACCGTACAGTTGTACACTCTTAACTCTGAATGTTTCAGTGGAGTGTAGTAAGGAATGAATTCAGCTTAGATTTGTTTATATGCTGGTCTCTATTATATTGTAGCCTAGACGCATTGAGCTTCTTAAGCAAGAGCCTCAATTTCATCTCCATGCATTTGAAATTTCAAAAAAGGTCAGTCTTTGTTACAGTGAGCTGATTGGAAAGAGGCAGGCATTTTCACATGACTATTTTAATAGCTCCGCGGGTTTAGCATCTTGAGCTGTCGATGTGTTTAATTGCTACTGAATGCTTTGAACATCACTGTAAAGCTGCTTCCTGTCTTTGTGTCTTTTTTCCACTTCCTCCCCAGTGCGTTTTGCTTTTTGGAGATGAAGACTTCATCTTTCTCTGCTCTGACTCTGTTTTTCATGTCACAGTGGAGGATTGACTATATGTTCTCTCTAAGAAAGTACTGGTCCAGGAAGCTTGGGGTTTTTTACATGCATAAACATGTTCTATTTATTTTGTAGCATTTCTTTTCCATTCTCTTCTCTTTCCTCTTAGTTTTCCAGAATTCTCCTCACTATATTAAAAATAGACAGGGCTCCAGGCGGTGACTAAAATGGTTGCTAATGCAACAAAATGTGGCAATAATTTAAAATCTAGTCACCTTTGACGACAGTCTGGAATCTTTTATGCATGTCAATGTATGTTTTTGTTTTTTTTTCTTTCAGATATCATCTTGTAGGCTGCCATTAGCTGACAATTTGAACCATTTGACCAAAAAAAAAAAATTACTCTCCTGAGCTAGATCTTTTTAATGCATCAGTCAAAAAGATTCTCGTGGGTCAGTTAAAAGTTTGAATCAGACTGTTAGTGAATGAAACACTCGGATGCGTGACTAACTTCACCGCTGAACCAGAAGTCCATTTTTAGTTCCGCCTGATTAAAAATGAACTATCAACCATTCCTATATTTATGTTTTAGGGTTGTGAGACTTACAACTGTCTATTTACTAACTGCTTGATCATATAACCGTATTTATAAGTTCAAAAAAGTCATTTGGCTCCTGATCAATTTCAATTTCAAAATGATCAATTTCAAATAAATGTTATTTTGTACTTTATTTTCATAAAATAATCAGTTAAAAAATATCTATTGTGGCTTCCACAAACATATTAACCAACACAACTATTTTCAGCATTGATAATATTAAGTGCTACCAACGTATTATATTATGAGCCAAATATTAGAATGATTTCTGGAGGATCATGTGACACTGAAGACTGGAGTAATGATGCTGAAAATTCAGCTTTGCACCACAGAAATAAATTATATTTAAAATATATTCAAATAGAAAACAGTTATTTTAAATTGTAATAATATTTCAAAATGTTACTGTTTTTATTGTATATTGATCAAATAAATGCATCTTTGGTGAGCAAAAGAGACTTTCAAAACCATAAAAAAAAACTTTTGAATGCTAGTGTATTTTTACAAATAGTTATTTATGCATCCATTCACACTACTTTGGAAAATACTCTGGAATTTGCCTGAATTTGCCCGAACTGATGCAAGTAAGTGTTATTCTGTGTTCTCGTATTTGGAAAACACGCATTTGGAAAATGGCATTTCAGGATTCACCTCTCTTCTTTAACTAGTGCGGTTTCATGCATGTTAAAGAACTTCTGAAAGTCTGATCTGGAGTAATATACTTGCTTTACTAGATAGAGACACATCTGTGTGTTCACCAGGACATGGTGGTTTCCCCATTACCCTCCTTTCCCAACTAATCCCAAATGCATTTGCATGGAGATGGAGTGCAGGAGTAAGACTCCGAGGTCTCGCTTTCGTTCGGATACCAGTGGTGAGCTCGTCTTATATCTCTCCAGAAGTGCATTACCTCCTGCATCCCGCTCCATTCCATCTTCCCGTCCTGTCCTCTCTGCATTCCACTTCTCCTAAATTCACCTCAAAGCAGGCGATCGCGGATGAGATATTTGATCAATAATTGAGATGAGCTCGTCTGCCGTGTTTTTAGGTCTTGCATTAAGACGCCGCGTCCAATTTGACTTTAATACGTTGCTATTTTTACTCGTGCTTGAGTATTAAAAGGCATTTAAAATTAAAGGAAAATCTAGTGACAGAGGATTTCAAGAGGTG